TAATAAATAGKTAGGAAYCAATTTAAAGTTTTGATTTGCGGCGTAGAGCGTCTAACTGAGACAGGTTTTTATTTATTATGTTGGCCCACTACACAACTACTCATAAATGTTGTTATTCTTAATTCATCAGACTTTGTAAAAAAGATTTTTAAAAAAGCAAAAAAAAAATGTTTTGAAAAAATGGGCTTAGATAAATTTTATAGTTGGTACATTAGTGGTGACTGCGCCAAGTCATTAAATGATCTCGAAATATTAGAATGCTGTTATATGAATTATATATAATATAATATGTATGTATGAATAATCATAATATGCCACACACAAATACTGTGTGTGTATGCAGTCTATATTAAGTATATCAATAATTATCAGTAGTCCCATGTACCTTTAGTTATATATAGCAGCTACAACATGTCTGCATATATATACATACTTAAACAACAATAACAATAATAATAATGCACTTATATCTTTATCTATAATATATTATTATATTTTGAGCAACTATTCATCAAATTATTATTATTATTATTATTATTATCAACTATTCAACAAATCTATACTTCATGATATTAATTATTAATTCACATTTGATGAATTACATTTATTATTATATTGTGTTTGTACATATAGGTACTCAATTTAAAAAATTTAAAAACATGTTTTATTTAATACTTTGCTAGGTAACGCACAGTCGATTTCGTCGGTATCGATGTATGACTTAAATGTTTTACGGTGGCGGGGGAAGAAACAATTAACCTTCTACAAACATGGTTGTTATAGTTATTATAATAGTTATTAGTTATTACTATTATTGCATACAGCGTACTACAATGCATAGTAAAATAATCACTTTTATACTTATATGTACCTAACCAATGGTTTTTTTTTTTTTTAATCATCAATTATCATAAGCAAATAGACATCTCGTGCGGAGGGTTTATCGCAGCGCATTGACACATAGTACATTAAGTTATAGGTATTAACTATGTGCTATATAATATTTTATGATCGCGAGTTACAACTATATAGTTTTATGTTTAAATTAATCACAAATGTATCGTACATATTTTTATAGAACGTCGCAACAGCGCTCTCAACGCGCTAATTAAATACGTCTAAAAAAAATTTTCTTTGGAAAAAATCCAACTTCGTCTGCTGCTGGAAACCAAGCGGATTTACCGTTGTCCGTTACCTACCTAGGTGACCACTATTTTCGATGGGTTAAATATAATATACGTTTAATGATAGGATGCAAACCAACCGCCATTGAATATTTATTATAAGTATTAAGTAGATACCTATAATACAGACACACGCAAACGGAAATTTTTCGAGTTGTTTGTATTGTTTTTGATCAGCAAAAAGAAAATATTTTTTCCTTGAAATAAGATATTATATTGATTATATTAGACGGTATTATAATTTAAATCTTAACGTAGTCCAAAAAATTAACATTAAAATAAGTTGTTATTGCATGATGAGTTATACGATTGAATTTTTTTTATATTCAACTCAATTAAACACCGGATAATTTTTAATAAATATGTTCAAAAATTATTTTTTGAAATGTTTATTAGTTTCATTTCAGAATTTTTGTACGAATTGTTAAGTCAAATTAAAGTTGTTTATGTATACTTGAGTGTAATACTATTATAATATAGGCACTACCGTAAGTAGGTATTGTTCATATTACAATCGTTATTTGTTTTATCGTTAGTTGTAAAATAATGATTATTWGCTTATTTTATTTTGTATGCAATCCAACGCACAAAAGTATACATATAATATGGAATAGCAAATAAATAAWAATCAAGTTGATACCTTAAACGTATATTATATAATGAGCAAATAATTRAAGTGGAAAGTTATATCTTTGATCATAATATAGTTGGTCTTTATTAAATTTAAAATACAGTTTATTGGTGATAAAAGAAATCAACAAAAATATACAGGTACCATCACTTAATTTTAAATTACATAAAATAAAAATCAACAAATACAACAACTGTAGAGATGAGAGCAAATAAATGAATATTATAAAAACGTTCGAAACAAGTGGTTTGATTATAGTATTACACTGCTAGAATTAGTATATAGTATTAGCATTTAGCAATAAAATTATATCGACTGCTCGTGTATAATTTGTGACATTTTAGTCAATAAGTTAATTTAGCTAATAATAATATAGGTACCTATACTGATAAGTTCCAAGGAGAATGTAACAGAATTTGTTCATACATAAACCGGATTATTCAACGTGAATACTTATACAAGTATCATTTATATTTTGTACATTACCATTACCGGTTCCAGTCATAATTTAATATACTTATAAATTATAATTTATAATTTTTTTTCGCATAAGATTACCTTATAATATATATAGTATCCCTCAGTCTTCGGTACATATTTAAATTTGCATTTGGTTTTTAAATTTTAAGGATGGTAAGGGTAAATTTTATATAAGAATTAAGAAATACAATATAGGTACCTATCACTGTCAGACGACATTAACGTTGTTAAATTTACATATTATTATACGTTTTATCTGTTTTGACTTTAAATAAAATATTGTATTTTACGTAATATAGGTACTCATTAAAATTTGCTCATGCAGTTATATGCTTTGAAGGTAGGTACACAATATTATAACTTTGGTAAATTAGTAAAAAATTATATGTCATCTACTATATGGAAGTATTGTTTGTATACCATTTCTGCGGACTGTGATTATCTTGAATTAAAAAGGAAATGAACGGTTTTCTTTTGATAACAGTTTAAACAGTGCGTAAAGTAAGTAGGTATTACCGCGGTAAAACGATTTAATTATGTAATTAGCTTTATCATACTTTTAGACTTCTTTAATAATATAAAATGCGTTTCACACAGAAAACAAGACGTATAGGTACAATTTCTATAATTAGTCAACGAACGAGGAAAAAAAGAATATTAAAAAATATMGGTCTACACTATATTATGTTACTTATAACTGTAATTCATTAACTTCAAACGATATAATTACTAATTACTATACAGGTAAGTAATCATCTTGTGTTCAATAGACGGTTGTAATTTGTTAGCGTAAAAACCGCATATAATATATAGTTAACTGTGCCTTCTTGCAGTAATAAAATGTTTGACGCAGGTATAGGTARGTAATACGAAGCCTTAAGATTTTTTTAATTAAAATATTAGTGGGCCGATTAGAGTACCTATAGTGTTTAATGCAGGTACGTAATGAGTATAATAGTATAGTATATATTTTATAATTTATAATAATATTGTATTACGATCGATGAGCTTAATGTTAATATATAATTGTAGTATACTTTATCGATACCTATTATAATATAATAGAGATAAATCAYAACACACATTATGCACCTATGTCTGATACACCAAATAGGATTCTGTCGCGTTAACTGCAGTGTTGAACAGTGTTTTGTAGTTGTTTTAAATAAGAAATAAGAAATGTCACATTTTTCAAGAACATAAGAGTGTATCGACAGTGTTAATATAGACAATAGTTTAAAAAAAAAAATAATAAATATTTATCTTCAGTCGATTTTAAAATTGCGGAATTTCATGGAAACGTCACGGTCACGTTATCACGGCAAGACGAAAGTCACTGTGTCTAGACATCGTCTATGGAGGCTGTACAGAATACGGTTATAAAACTCAGAACAGAACAAATTCTGACCGGTATGTCGATTTTCTCGTCTGGTGATCGGCAAGCAAAACCTATTTGTTCGAACCCGGTTTTGCTTTCTCAATTGTTTGAATCCGTGGCGATAATTTACGACCATTAAAAAAATAATGATTAAACCACTGGAAGCAGAAGACGGGGCACCAAAATTTCGCCACGAAAARGGTCTTTCAAGAGTCACAACGAAATCATCTTGCACGCATCACTCAACGACTTGACGTGGACGATTATGCTCAACGATCAATATAAATAAAATTATGGCAATGCCAAGCCAAATACGCCATTGTATATATATATATATATATATATATATATAAATATAGTGTTGTTGATTAAATAACAACAACAATACAACACAATATTAATCAAACACACTAATATTTTCAATACAATATTCGATGCGCTAGGAAAAAACGGTGCGAAATGACCGATTGAACATTCACGGTGCGTATTTCAATCACAATAATTATTAAAACAATAATAATATCATTGGGCCACGGTTTAAATTTTTCGATGTTCCGATTCTTTTCACAACAACGACCGCCAAAAATAATAATTCGTTAATTTCCTGATATTATTATTATGTTAACGCGCGGGAAGAACCTAAACATTACGCAGAAAATACTATACATACCACACGTATATTATTGCAGTATGGCACCGAATCGTTATAATATTTTACGCGATGTGAACAACACGTGTCACTAAGGACGTCTCAAGTCACCACGCACGCGGTGTTTGCTCGAAAAGAAAAATGCGAAATGTGTTTRTCGAACAATGTCACGAATACATTATTATTGTTGTTATCACTCGCGCCTATGTGCATTAAATATTCTGTACTTAATATTATTATTGTCATAATATACCGTCGAGCAATATATATATATATATATATATATCTATTATGATAGACAATATTGCACCTCATTGCACTCAGCACTGCAGTTCGGTTTTCGCAGTGTGCGAACACTACATAAGTGCTGTTGTTAAAACGATTGCTTAAATGTGGCGGATGGTCCTAGGGGCTTAGCCCCTAATGATGGTCGTTAGGCCCTTAAGTAGTATAAYGGTATATTATAATTATAAGCTTCACCATTTTTAACAACAACTGCAGAGTTTTAACACGACGGGTTTGATTTGAATATTTCTGGTGGGAACTCGGCGCCACCATAACCCACATGTAGGGCCATCAAAGTATATTTCGAAACACCTATACTTGTATGACAATTTTTTTTTCTAAACGATATTACAGAACAACCGATTCGTGAAATTTTCAACGGGCAAAACTCACCTTCGGCGCCTCATCATCTTCACTCATAACGGCTATACATACTAATATGTGTGCTCATCATGTACGTACACGTTTGCAAGTTGTAACATAACGACTTCACACTGAACCGCGATCATAGTAAATCGATAGTATGCGATCGTGTGAKTCGCGGCGCGAGTACACGTTCAAGGACAAGTTTTTTTTTTTAGCGACGCGAGTGATCGTCCGTCGAAAGCATTATAATATAATATTATTATTAATTTATTATTATCATAATAACGTGGCGGGATATACGATTATAATAATATATATAATACGCGCGCACAAGATATAGCGGGGTGAACGAACAACGAGGAACGGAAGGAAGTCACTCTAGGTCATTCACACCTGTCGAATATAATATTACGTATTTCGATATTACTGTACCTAGTTGTATATAAGTACATATGTATATTATATACATATTATATATTTATTTAAGTGCGCGTGCGTGTCTGCAGTGCGCGCCGAGCGGTGTTCATTCAGAACTGGTGTTTTCACGCACGCGCGTTGCGCACCGTGCACGCCGCGCATAACGGCCGCGGGTCAACGGGGCGGCCACATTCCCGTCCACATTCCAGGAGTGCCGCTCGCGCGGCTTGTCCGCCGCCGCCGGTCCGGTCGTCTACCGYCGAGCCCCCGGAGGCRGCGGCGGTATTTCTACCCCACTACCCCGACGATCGGCATTATATATCTTATCTYGTTTGCCACGGGCCCCCTGTAGGTTTTTGGGGTCTAACCTCCATACGTATATAGAACGCCCTCCACCGAAAAATATAATAACATTACACCACCACTCTCGTAAGTATAATATTATTATTAGATTATCGTTCGCCATTAACGCAGACGACGACGAGACCCGCGCCAAATTAAACGCAATTCCGGTCCGCTTTTAATGGATTTCACGTAGTAGGTGTGTAACATAATATTATATTATATATTATTGTACTKATATGTATCACGCGCATATAAACATGTCTGGGAAATGGCTATCCAACGACCCATCTATCACGTCCGTGTAGATCGCATCACAATTTTTTTTTTTAGTGGGTGGTAGTAGGGTGGTTGTGGTTAGGAGTGGTGCATAGTGSCGCAGTCTCGGGCGATTCGGTCGTGTCTATTCGAAAATCGTCGTATTGTACCAGCTGTGACACATATATTGAGAGTTGTTAGACGCATCCCTTCTTACAAAACTTGTAAAAGGTACCATTGCTTGCTCAGACCTGCTATACACCAACTTAATGTCTACATCCCCGCGTTAAATTCTCGGTCCTTTCCTATAATCATAATTCCGTTTCACCATACTTCTAATGGCTCCAACAACCCTATTGATCGTATATCTGCTGTATGTAATCGGCTTAATAATCATGATAATTTTGATTTTTTTTTTCATTGTTAATCTTATGTACCTATTTTTATTTAAAGTGTTATTTACTGTTAACTTTAATAATAACGACTTCGGGCGTTTATTCAATAAATAATAAATAGATATATATTATTGTGATCGTGAAATGAAAGTTCCTTTAAATACTAATTCACGTCCACAATGATGTTGATTTTGGTGAAAGAGCGAACTCTATAGTTTCTTGTTCCTACGGCAGCTTATATAAAGAAAAGGAACTTACAATAATTATATTTCTTGCCTCGTTCCTAAATAATTTTAAAATAGTATAGTAATCGTTGTTTAATTAGGTATAGTAATTTTGTTTTTAAAATGTGTTTAATTTGTTTATATCATACAAGTTAAGAGACCGACAAGACCACCGTGACTGCAGACTCGTCATTTTTGTTAACATTGTTAATTTTATTTTATACACTGTTTTAATAATATAGCTTATTAAAATATTAAATACATTTCTAAAAAAAAAAAATATATATAAACATATTATAACGTTTGTCATAAAAATTGTTTAAATTCCCTATATTCATGATTAATGAACAAAAAAAGTACAAACAAAATCATTCTTGTTCCATCATACGAAATACGAACTGCGTTCCGATTAATTTCCTGGGAATTGAACGAAATTATTGGCACAATAAGTTCCTTTGAATGCTTTTCTTTCAAGCACTGCAGGTATATAATATGGTTAAAATGTAAATAATATGTATTTATATAAAAAAAAAATGTTTAGTAAAGTTAAAATTGAAAAAAAAAACACAAAAGTTGGAATCCGTATAATAATGTGCGATTCCTATATTACATAATGCTATTTTCATACACTTGGGGAACATAACATATTATTTTTAATTGTCGACGATTATTTTTTACCTATACGTGGAGTTAGCAGGTATATATAGCAGGTGGGAACTTATATGTATAATTTTAGGTATAGGTTATAGGTAACCTATAAAGAAATGATGACAAGACTGCTATGTACGTATTGTGTAATATTGTTTGTTGTACGATTTTTTAAAAGTGTTTTTTAAGAGTATTTTTCTGGCCGTGCGATGGGTTAGGTATACACAAAACTATTTTCGTTGTTTATATTTACGTATTTTGAACACTGCGCAGTGTATATTATATACTACACACGAACGACATATTTTCAAAAACGAAGACATATAATATGCAAACAATTGGAAAGTAGACACTTAACGCGTGTACCTCGCTATATAGCTGGCGATTACACCGAACATTTTTTTTCAACAAATAATGTTTAGTTATCTTTTGTAAAATACTCATATATATTTTACAAACGGTGGTAAGAGGCCCTCTGCATTAAATATATAGAAGGGGTCCTTACCTATGACATGTGCGACATAGCATGTACACTGTAAAGTATTATAATATTATATCCTTAAGCTGCTCGGTTAATGTTTATTCATTCAATATAGAAACGAGTTATATCACCACATAATATAATTCATAAACACACGCTGGTTCAAGAGATCCGTGTTCGCGTTACATATATAAAATAGGTGTAATATATATAAATATATTAAATATCATATTATTAACGATTCATAAGTGAAAACAATATAATATTGTATTTAACGATTCAATAATAATCGATAAATGCTACCACCTATAATAATAATATGATGTTGATTATAATATTCGACATGCGAAAATGTGTATTTTAGCCGATTTTAAAACCGTATTATATTGATTGCATTGTATATCGATGCAACCGATTCATAATAACTTAAACAATCATTCGTCCGTCTATACACTATACAGCTTATATACAGCTTCAAAGTGGTAACAGTTTTCGACGTTTTAAGCTATTTTTTTTTTTTTAGTAGTATTTATTCCTCGATTCCGAAGATCGAGAAAATCGATTGGCTGAACCACAAGTCCAAATTAGCTGGTTGGTATACGTGCAAATAAAACATTGGTAGATACCACTATAATATGGATAATAAATAATCATTTTTTTTTTTTACCACACATATCTACAAATGCAAGGAACTCCCACGTCTCCGAGGTTTATCCTTCACCTTGACATTAGAAAGTATTTATAAATAGACGTACATATTTTTGTTCTATAAACAATCCGATATGCAATTGTAATCACAACACATTGTACCACGAATGTGTAACAATATTAATTGATTATAATATTTTTTAGTGAACTACAATCCGTAAGCAGGTACAGCAGTAGATCAAATTTTATTAT